TACAGTGGAGTTATCTTCAGCTAATTTCTCAGCAGGAAACAAACAGATTGATTTCTTTTAAATGAAGAAGAAAAAAAATCATAAAAATGAAATAAAAATAACAGAACTGGTTTTGAAAATTAAGACCTCTATTTCAATGTGACTTGATGGCAATCAATAACAACAATTACCACAATATGCACAGAGGGGCTAATATATATAAACAGGGAGGGCTGACAGGCCAAACAAATGAATGTGGTTGGTGTCAAGCCCATGTTAACTCATAGTGACACTATGGGACAGAGTAGAACTATGCATAGAGGTCCCAAAGCCATACATTGGTATGGAATGCAGATTACCAGATCTTTCTCGCACAGAGTGGCCAGTGAGTTTGAACCATGGAGCCCTGGATTGCTCACTGAATGCTCCACTGTTATCACTGGAGTCCACAGATAGGATACTTTGTCAAAATTTTATTTTATTATAGCACAGTATAACATTTATAACTTGTTCATTTAAAAGTTGCCTGAAAAACATGACTTCTCAAAGTCTGCAGGGTTCTCTGAATTCTAAAAGTCAACTCACAAGGAACAATTTAGTTAATTTTTACATTTAAAATTATCTTAATTATGTTGCATTATCAGCACAAGCTAAAACTAAATTTCCAAATGGTATTTGCTTCCTTTGATAGAGTGTGATATTTTAAGAATATTCTTCATGAGACAAAAGGGGGAAATTTTACTAGTAAGATATGCTTTCAGTATTTTCCTTCTTCCCCCCAATATATTTATAATATATGTCACTTTTTAAATATAGTAAAATACAATATTTAGAGTAAAGAGACTTGGATTTCAAGAAGTGAGAGGGTAGAATTGGGCTAATACTATATTAGAACACACTACTGTAAGAAATAGAATCAGGAATAAGCTAAAGAAAATCTATAACATTAATCTAATTGAGTATTTACTAGTGGAGTAGTCCCTGCATGAGGTGAATGGTCAGCACACATGGCTGCTGTCATGTATTCACTTCTGTCTTTCCAAAAATAGGTGTCAATTTGACTAGCCCAAAATTCTCAGTGGTTTGGCACTTATGTAATGACATGATTTATTAGTTTTGCAATGATATAATCTAATATATAATATATATCATTCACAAAGTGATCTAATAAAATCTGGCAGTCAGCTATAAATTAATTAGGGTGGGACAGAACGTCCTTACTGAGGTCACAACACTTTCTGGTGGAAGAAGATTTCTGAGGCATGACCTATATCACCATTTTCCTTGTTGTTTGTTATTAGGTACTATTGAGTAGGCTTCCATTCACAGTGACTTCTAGTACAACAGAATGAACCCTCCTGTTACTGCTTTGTCCTCACAGTCTCTGCTGGGCGTAAAGCCTACTGTTCTAATCTCATCATGGGAAAGGACAACCTTTTATCTTACAAGAGATAAAACAGAGGGTACAAGTAGAGAGGGAGAGATCTTACTACTACCAAGGAATAAGAGCCAAGAACAGAGTATAACCCTGAGACCCTGGTGTGAGAAACTCCTAGACCCAGAGGAAGCTTGATGACAAGACACATGTAGATCTCTAAGGAATGCTGGACTCACATATGTTAAAAGGTAGTATGGACTTTCCTTGAGCACTGACAAGGGAATGAAAGCTCTAAATTCAGACTTCTGGCTTCCTAAGTTGGGAGAGAATGACTGGTTCACTCAGAGATACCTTGGAATAAAGGTAATCTACTTAAAAAAGCAAGAATCATTGAAAACGCTTTAAAGCATGTACTCTTCTGATACATATAGAGTTGCCATGGGTTCAATGGCAACTGGTTTGTTGTTGTTGTTTTATTTCATAGAATTCAAGATGAGAGTGGATTACCAGGTCTTAAGAGGGATGGGCACTAAGCAGCTCTAGAGCTCTCAGAATCAGATGTCTGTGGACTTAGACTCTCATGGTCACTGTTAATGGAAGATAGTCAGTTTGTGGATCAGCTCCTGCAATCAAGCTTTTTTTCTGTGATTGTACTAAAGTAATTGGGGATGTTGGGCCATGGCAGAATTTGTGAGAAGAGCAGATGTTCTTAGAAGATATGTGAAAGGAGAAAAACAATAGATAGATAGATAGATAGATAGACAGAAAGACATAGAGATAGTGAGAGAGAGAAAGATAATATAGATAGATCTAGATCTATTATCTATCTAATCTATTATTCTATCTATCTATCTATCTATCTATCTATCTATCTATCTATCTATCTATCTATCCCTGTGTACCATAGAGTCCAAAACAACCAGTGAATTTACGAAGGCAGTTAATCACATGGGAGGAGACTGCCCCTCCCCATCCTTCTCTCTGTGGAACAGCTGATAGATTCTAATAGCATTCCTTCAGGGTAGCAGCACATCTTACACCACTAGGCCACCAGAGCTCCATGCGTGTGTGTCTGTATGTGAATAATTTAAAGCCTGGATCTTATATTTTGTTTGAAATGTAGCATAAAATTTTCTGTTTCAATGATTAGGTTAATCCTTCTGAATCTACTTCCAGAGCATTTCAACTGTTAGGGAAGGAGATGTCTCAGAATTACCTATTTGCACAATGTTCAAACATCACACAATGTTTAAAAATGAAGATTTGCCTGACCCAAGCCATGGTATTTTCACTGGCTTCATATGCATGTGAAAGCTGGACAATGAGTACAGAATACCTAAAAAGAGCTGATGCATTTGAAATATGGTATTGGAGAAGAGTACTGGAGATATACTACAGACCATCGAAAGAAAATACAAATCTTTCTCAGAAGAAGTGCAAGCAGGGCGCTCCTTGAAGGCAAGGATGGTGACACTTTGTCTCACACACTTTGGGCATGTTATCAGGAGGCCACAGTCCTTGGGAAAGCACATCATAGATAAGCACGGTGGAGATCTTGAGGATGTTGCATGATAGGGCAAGATTTCTATTTTTCATAGGGTTTCTCTGAATTGTGGTTGAATTGATGGCACCTAACAACAACAAATTGCAAAGTGTACATTCTGTATCTTTCCTCCATTTCTCTTTCAGACGGTGCCTTCATCTGTTCTCTCTCTCTTATCCTTATTCTATTTTTTTAAAAAAAATGTTATCAATGTAATTAAGAAGTTTCTACTTCTAGTGCCAAATTAACTTGAATGATATTAACAGGAAACACTTATTTAATGCATAGGAACCACAGTGAACTGCAAAGCAGTCATTTCCTGACTTACTAGTTTTCCAATAGGTTTCACTGTCCTACAGATAAAGTTCAGGCACCTGTGAAATCTAAGAAAACAAATTCTTTTTTGCCTGGTGCATACTGTCTTCTCTAGTTTCATCTTCTCTACTCCCTGCCTTCAGTTGACATTTGGATCGCTCTCATTCATTCATGCTGTTCTGTACCATCAGGCTTTCTTTCATACTGTTATGTTTCCTCTAAGTGTGATATTCTATCATTTTCCTGGTCACAGAGGCCTGGAAACCTACCTTCCCATCACACTGAATAAAGATACCAACCATCTTGTGATTCCAGAGTGCTGTGTGCATATCGTAGCCAAGATTTGTATGGTATTGCACTGATATCCTCAAAATTGTTGTCAGTGTTGTGTGCCATTGACTCAGAACGGACCACACAGTTGACCCTTCAGTGGGTTGTCAGAGGTAGTAAATAATCTGGAAGAGGACTGTCCATCCTTCTCCCACTAAGCAGTTGGTGGATTTAACCTGCATGCCTATGGGACTGTAGTGCAGTTTCTTACCACTAGGCCACCAGAAAGTCCATTTGTCCATTACACTATTAGAAAGTCTCATGTTTCCAATAATACCTACTACAGGCTTGATATTATGCTATGTTTGTTGAAAACAACAAAACTTCTAATCCAATTTACCTGTCAGTGTTCTTTCAGACAATAAAGAAAATTTTAGTCATTTCATGGAAGAAAGATGTGCAGTCTCCTCCTATGGGGATTTGCAGCCTTGATATTCTGATGGAAAGTCTCCATGAATCGACTTGCAGACTGTGGGAGTGGGTTTTAAAGTGCATTTAATGTTCCTTATGAGATGGCCTTGAAAAAATGCCAATGCATCAATGTAGCCCAAACATTAATTTGCTATGATGACTCACTGCCTGGAGCATCAAAACACTTTGACTAAAAGCAAGATAACAATTGTTCAGAGCAGCAGACTCTCAGATAGGTCTTAAAGCATGGTTGCAACAGTGTTTTTCCATTGTATTTCCTATAATCAGATTTGTCACAAATAATGTAATTTCCATCAATTACTCAAATCAAACACTATCCTTCTGTCATTCTAATTCTAAATATCTCATTATTTTATACTTTTAAGAATATGAGAGTACAAGTAGTGCCACTATATTAATGTAAAAGATAGTTCTACATAGGTTAAATAAATAAAATAGACTGATTGCTGTATATCTTGAATATTCAGTAGAAAACTCTGTGTCCCCCTGTATCAATGAATCCCTTTGGTACAGTGGTGTGGAGTTCAGTTCTGTAGAACAGTTCAGAAAGCTTCTGTCATTCCCCATTTCATTCTGTTAATATGAAAATAGACTGGATAATTTTTAAACAAAGGATATTTATATGAAGCGTAAGTAACAAATCAATACTCTACTGTCTTAATAATGGTAAATTTGATGAAAAATCTTTGTTTTGCTTAAATTCTGCATAATGGCATAGAGTAAATCTATTTTAGAAGAAATCCCTATAGATCATTGTTTTCCCACCAAAACTTGAGTTTTTCAGAGCATTTCCATTATTAGAGAAGGAGGTGCCTCATAATTAATTATAATTAAGCATTATACACACACATACTCACACACACACACACACACACACACACACACACACACTCTCACACACATAGACTCAATATCTCTCCTCCTTTCATCCTTCAGGCTTATGCACCCATATGTTCTCATGTTCTCTCTCTACCCCCACACACATCCCTCATTTACAGGATCCTATAATAAAGAAGCTCTTACTTGGTATTATGTGTATCGATGGTATGGAAGAGCTCATGTAATTCTTCACCACTCAGCACACCATCTGCAAAATATGCTTTGAATTCTTCAAAGGACAACTTCCCATCATCTGAAATGTTAAGAAAAAAAAACAGAAAAGAAGCAAATCATTTCAACTATATACACTAGTCTTTCAATTTTAAAACCCTGCCCAAAAGTGTAAAACTGCACACATATATTTAAAAAGAAACAGCAAGCAGCGAAAAGAAAATAATCCATTTTATCTTTGCAGTAAACAGAATGCATGCATACATACATATTATAAACACAGATAAAACAGAAATCTATGTGGTGTTAGGCACTGGGTGTTCATTCATTTACTAGAGAAAACATTTAACAGTCACTGGTCATACCAAAAATAATATATTCATACAATTCAAAAAGAGAGAAACATAGAGTTCATGTATGTTTTGCCTTTGGGGGGCCAAACATGTACAGGTCCTAGGAGACTGAAAGACAAATACTAGATATTTAATAAATCTGTGTTGATTGAAAGAATGCTTACAAATAGATACCGTGTTATTCCAGTCCAACAAACTACGTCCATTCCTTTACTCTTTAACCAAAAGCACTTCTGAAAACAAACTGTTCACTTATTGTGGGATATAAAAGTGAAAAACTTATAAGCTAATAATAATGAAAAGATGTGCAAACAAAAGCAAATCTATATTGCACAACAGAGCACAGTAAATGTAGTAAGCTTAAAATGCACGAGGGTTTGGGTAATTAGAGGTATCTTTTATTTATGGCCTCAGAGGTTTTAGTAGCATTTGAGCTAGGCTTTTAACAAGAGGTATAGTCTAGGTATAAAAGTGAGATGAGAGTGAGGCAGCATCATCTGGCCTCCATTAGCTTTACAGGAGGAGGAGAAATAATTTCCATCAATATCAGCAGCCCAAGGCTTGTTCCTTTGAGGCCAGACGTGTCTCTATGTCTCTAAAACTTTACCACCAATTCCGATACTAATTTTCCCTCTAATGGCACTGTAAAAGGATCTATGGCAGCATGAGGGTGGCTATCTCTGAGTTCTAGCTGCTTCATAAAGGGGAACTGTCCCCATCAATAATGTCTACAGAACCATACAAACAACTACATAGTCAGACATGCCACCCCACCATGTTCTTGCGTCTATTTTTTACCAATCACTGGCTCTGATGCTCTTTGTAAAAACCACAGACTTTATTCACAGTTGTAGTTAATTAGGGAAATAGGTTAGAGAGTGGAGGAGGAAAAGAATCTCTTACAATGCAAGCCCAGGTTTAGTCCAGAAGTCTCAACCCAGATTAAAAGGCACAAATACTCAATTAGTGAAAGTCCAGGTATAGTTCAATAACACAAATGCAAGATGTCTCTGGTTTTCTCAATCATCCAGTCAACTTTATCTAAAAGCAGTTATAAGTCAACTTTTCCTTCAATCATCCAACAAGCAAAACTTTAACTATGGCCTTTGTTGTAAAGGTTCCTCTGGTTATACCTTGCCACAGTCTCTTCACAATATCTCCACCACCATCCCTGCCATTTTTTTTCACAGTGTATAAAACACTCTTACACTGTTCCCATAGCTGTTGATGATTTGCAAGATCATATATCCACAGTTAAAGTAACTGAAGAATATCCCACCCCTCAATGGGGGCTAACAAAATGGCTAGAAAAGCCAATTTTCAAGAGTTCTGACACCCCAGTCACTCACTAATTCTCTGCTGACTTTGAGAACTCATTCTGATGACAGAGAACTCAGTAACTATTTCGTTATGGGATATATTAATAAAGTAATGAGTTACAGTTCAGGATGAGGAACAACTTAGGACCCACTTCATCAACTAAGACAGAGTCTCTTCAGTAGTGGCAAAGTGTAGGCCTACCTCTGGCCTGTGACGTTATGACTTTGACTTCTGCTTTGCTTGGGAAAAATGTTACAAAGCTCTTTTAGCCCTGTTTGTTTAAGAACCTCAAAAGTAATCCACCCCACTAAGCAGGCCTAGATCCAAAGACACCAGTCAGCTCTTCTCCACAAACCTAGCACCCAAATAGCCAAGGGCACCCACTCTACAGTAAGATTGCTGCTCCAAGGGCACTTAGTTTTCTTGCTCCATGAACCAAAGCCTACAGCTGTTGTGCTCCAGTCTCCTGATTGTTGTGGTTCTACGGCTTCCATTTCTTTGTCCTTCACCATTGCTGGGCACAACTCAGCCACTTATCACTCTCTCTCTAGTGTTAGAGCCCTGTGTCCTAAGTAGAGGAGTTAGAGCACAGGGATGTCATGTTCAAATGGTACACTCAGCTCCTGACTTTTTCTCTTGACATGAAAGAGAAGGGAGAGAGAGAGCGAGAGAGTGAGAGTGAGAGAGAGAGCAAGAATGAGAGCGAGAGAGAGAGAGAAACAGAGACAGACACAGAGACACTTCTCTACATCTGGGATGGCTCATTTTAAGCCTGGTAGAATGGCAAAACTGACTAATCACTATGTTAGTATTTCACATACTCTATTTATATGGTCCCACCCAACAAGGACACCATGGACCTTATTTACATTCTTTTCAAGTTGTTCAATCCTCTCAGTGGGTCATAAACACTTCACATTTGCATAGTTCTTCCCAGTCATTTAGATGGAGACTGAGCTAGAAGAACCACATCAAGTAATTTACTGCCCAGCTCTAAGAAACTGTAGATGGGTGGGGGGATCATATCAACAGTAGGTGAAAGTGAAAGATTTGTTCGAGATCTAAACCAGCAAATAAGAGGTTGAGCTGGCAGGAGGATAAGGAAAGTACACTCGCTGTGCAATAAGCTGGTAAGGTGCGCCTGATACAGGCCATGGTATTTGCAATCGCTTGTTATGCATCAGAGAGTTGGACAATGACTAGGGAGGACAGAAGGAGAGTGGATGCTTTTGAGCTGTCATGCTGGAGAAGGGTACTGAATGTACCATGAACTGCCAGGAAAACAAACAGATTCATCTTGGAGAGGATTAAACCAAGCTACTCCTTGGAGGCAAGGATTCTGGGGCTTCGTCTGACATACTTTGGACATGTTGCCAGGAGGGACGGGTCCTTGGAGAGGGACATCATGCTTGGGAGGGTTGAGGGACAACGCAGGAGGGGAAGACCCTCTATGAGATGGATTGATTCGGTGAGTGGGGTAATTGGGATGGGTGTGTCAGAGGCGGTGCGGTTGGCGCAGGATAGAGCAGGGTTTAGGGCTATTGTGCATAGGGTCGCTATGAATCGGAAACGACTTGACGGCACATAACAACAACAACAACAACAACATCATGATCTTAAGTGAGGGACCAAAGACATCAAGTCATGGATACAGTCATGACTTTGTCCTTCAGACATTACAACCTAGAAAGCCCTATGGAGACTGCCCTCCTATGTGACATGGGGTCACTAGGAGTGACTTGCCAGCACACAACATCATCCAGAGAATCAGAATCTCAAAAAAGACAGGAGGGGTCACTCACTCAACAGTTGTCAAGTCAGAACAGATTCATAGCTAAAGAGATTGTCCATCTTTCTTCCTCAAAGCTGCTGATTGATTCCAACGGCCAGAGAGGTGTGACACTGGGTTTGTAGCGTGACTTCCCATGGGCTACACCACTAAGACTTCCTCACAGAGGGGCTGTTGCTGTTGTGTACCTTGACGTTGGATTCCAGTGGATTTTCAGAGGCAGTAAACTTCATGGGAGAAGACTGTCCATCTTTTTCCCACCACAGTGGGGTAAGCAGGAAAATGTCTGCGTTTTTAAGCAACTCATACACTTCCTCTTTATACAAGACTTGAGAAATAGTATTATATATTATAAACTAGGCCCCACTGTTGAATAGGGAGCTCTGATGGTCTAGTGGAAAGGAGCTACACTGTAATCCAGAAGGCATGTAGTTCAAATCCAGTCCCCAGGGAAAGAAAGTTGCATAATCTCCTCCTGTGCAATTGAACTGCACTTGAAAACCCACTAGAAGGACAGCTATGGGTTGGTTCTGACTCAACGATACACAGCAGTTGTGGAATTATTTAATCCTTTTAATGTCAGGAATTTAAGCCTATTATTTGCAAAAATATATTTACTATAAAATATAAAAATGACCCTTGAGAGTTTTGACGTTTTTGCTGCATTTTGTCTTTAAACTTAATAGATGCATTAAACCAATCTTCCAATTAATCTCGCCAACAGTTAACCAGGCAGACATATTCATAGACATAGTCAGGGCAAATCTTGATCTTGATGAAGCCCAGAATGAGTTGCTGACCTCTAGTCCTCCCCTGGTCCAGCCCAGCACAGTATTTCCAACATCATAATAGCATAAAAGCAAAGTTCCCTCTTTCTAGCCCATCAAGTGTCCAATTTTGCATCTCTGTTTTTTTCAGTGTGGTATATCAGTGTCATGTTTCAAATAACGTTTTAAAAGTCGAGTCCTGTGTAGCCTTCTAATTTCACTCCCCTTTAATGGGAAATTATATCCCAGGTTAGATTTAGTATCGTATTGTATTTCTACTGTGCATCTCCTTACTTTGATGAAAACTATATTGTCAGGCTGAGAGCTGGACACACATACCAGATGTAACTCTAGGTCAAAGAGGGAGAAGGAAACCTTTTCATCTGTTGTTTTCTTTTTTTTTTTGTTTTTTAAAGAAAGAAAAAGAGAACCCAAGTCAGTGTTTCCAATAGTACCACTGGGATCTGTAATCAAAGTGACAAAATAGATGTTCATAATGAAAGGTTTTACTTGGTGAGCATTTAATGGTTCTTAGGTGAGCTGAATCTGGGTATGAGAGAATGCTGGCTGCCCATGCACCCTGTGGATTAGGGCGAACCTCTGGAACATTGCTTTATAATTACTCAAAGTAAGTAATTTGAAGTAATAATGTAGTTGCCACAAAATAAAAGCATTGCCTAACAAGTGGCCTGATGATTCTCTAGGACTAAAGACTCTTTGTGATGTTTTTTTCATTTGTTTGGTTGGAGTTTTTTAAAAGATTCAATGGAAAAAAAGATAAAGACAGAAAGGAAAGGAGGCACTGAATTACAGTCCTGTTGGCTAGAAGGATGGAAAGTGTGCTTTGAATGCC